GTACAATAAAAACAAGAGGAATTGACTTTGCCATTCCAATACTTTTGGAGGGGCCCGATTGCAATCAAGCAAACCGTACGTGGAAAGGTCTCTTTCGCGAACTTCATAGGATCTGTATCATTTTTCAGTCCAAGCGACATGAAGGGCATGAGGACATCTTGTGCAAGCTTACGAACACCACATTTTGCATCATGTTGGCAACACCCTACACACGTCAATGAAGGCGCGTGCAGAAAGATAAGCTTCAAGAGCAGGTGAGGAATCCAAAGAAGGGGGCGCAAAGCAAGGAAGCCGTGACTGGAAGCCGCCAGCCACATGCGGAATGTACGACAGCGGGTGTTGGTGAGCGTCGTTTTCAAAGCAGCAGAAAAACGAGCGCTGCGAGCAGACACGAGGGAGGGTTTGCGTCACGGTCATCCCTCCCCAGCAATTTGGGCCTAGTTACCATGGCGACCACCATCCTCGTCCTCATGAGAACGTTTTGGATGAATGCAAAGACAGACGCAGTGTTGTCCACACCCCAAAGACGAAGCTTTGCCTCATGCGAAGACCTCCACTTCAGTACAAAGTGGGCCAGCAACACATGACGTTGATCACGGTAAGTAAGTCACACAGGCCATAGTGTACTATTATGAGTAAACAATATTACGTATTCTGGCAAGACTTGATACGTTTGAAAATCATGAAATTAGGGGGCGGCACGGTGGTCAACTGCTTAGCACATCCGCCTCACAGTGCAGAGGTGCAGGGTTTGATTCCAACTCCGGCCTTTCTGTGTGGAGTGCACGTACTCCCCGTGCCTGCGTGGGTTTTCTCCGGGTACTCCAGCACGCCCCGCAACCCTTGTGAGGATAAAGCAGATCAGAAAATTGTGGTGGATGAAATTGGGGTGAGGGTTTCAAAGTAGGGTTTCAAGGATGGGGTAAGGTTTCAAATTAGCACAAGGGTTTCCAATTAGGGTGTCAAACTGGGGTTGGGGTTAGGGGTTTGGGATAGGGTTAGGGGTTAAGGTTGCACATACACCACAGTCGGTGGCAGTGGTCCTCTCTTTGAGATTGCGCAAGGAGTATTCGCTGATCTCCAGAGGTGTACAGTACTTTACAGTTTTATAGATAAATTAAACGGTATATAGTTGGGGGTGCGCAAAATACGTTCTTTTCATAGGGGGTGTAACAAAAAAAAAACGTGCTAAAGTTCTGGTCTCATGTTTTAAAAATGAAAGAAATGGCCTTAGTACAAAGCCATTCAAAAAACACTGTACTATACTTCACGTCATTTTAAATGCTTTGCTCTATATATTTTTTAAATTGGCTTACCATGTCGTTCATCTGTCTCTAAGTGTCATTAAATGACATGCTTTTCTTAAAGATACCTTACTCTTGCATCATGCCACTGTTCTAAAAAATAACGCCTTACAACAACATTGTTTTCTTTAAAATTAAAATGCCTTATTATACATGTCATTTTCCTAAAAATAAATAAATGCCTTCCTACACTGTAACCTCATGTCATTGTTAGTTTTACTGTACAGTCTATGTTGAAAAAAAACAAACAGTCGTTCGTTTCTCTTGTCTCGTACCACTACCAACCACATGGTGGCGCCAAAACCCAATGGATAAGTTCACGACTACAGACTGTTGGCGCCGCCCTGTGGTAATAACAATCATCATCATCATCATCATACACGTGTTCGCAAAGTGCCTCAATTTATTCTACTCATTAATTAAGAGTGGCCAAATTAATTATGTTCATTTATTTTTTTTATGATGATCATATCTTGGTTTCCTTATCAGAACCACACGTCGGAAAGGCTTCAGTTGGTCGAAGTTGGGGCAACCTCCAGGCCAAGGCAGTCACACGGCTATGACGTTGAGCTTTATTTGGCAGCACGTTTAGCCCGCTAATTAGTTGCTAAGCCTCTCCGATCGAACGAGGTCAGGACGAGAAGACAAACGCGAGAGATCAGATCAGAGCCGCCAGCAAGGGTCGAGTAACTCTGGACTCAGTCCTTCTTCCTTTTTCTCACCCTGGGGAGGGGAGAACAAATGAAGGTAAGGAAATCTAGACAAGCGTAAGCTCCTAGCAACACGTTACGGACATACATTTTCCCCTCTTCTCTTTTTTTTTTTTTTTTTTAATTTACTCAGCATGTCCAAGGCAGGAGAGAGAATTTCATCGACGACTTCTGCAGATTCCACTTCCACAGATGGGTACGTTTCATTCCATTAGTTCCTGACTCACGTGTGTTCTCAAATTGATGTGCACTCCCCAAAAACTTGAGCGCTCACTCACGTTGCCTTTGTGGGGGTCCAGCAAAAGTGGAGCGTCCTCGTCTCAAGCGTCTCCATCGGGCTCGGTGTCCGAGACGCCAAAGAAGTCGTCCAAAAAGTCCAAGAAACACAGCGACAGCATGAACAAAGTCTACAATTCTGTGCTGAACAGTGTGTTCGGGGCTGTGAGTAGACGACCTCTTTCTTGCCGCGTGAAGTGCAACTAACCAAGTACAATGAAGTCAACTTAACAGATAAGTGCTTTTAGGTTTAATATCGATGTCTAAAAAAAATCGACTTGAGTATTTCTTTTTCTACGCTTAACTTTGTGCGCCAAGTGTTCTTTACTTCCTGTAAAATCCTGTGAATATCTCGTTTTTTATTTTGTATTAACCCCCCCCCCCCCCAAAAAAAAAAAAAATCCCAAATCGAGGGGTGCCATTATACAGGGTGTTAAAAACGAAAACATTTCAGATTGTTTCCACGCTTGCCAGTACTTAGGCAGTACTCATAAAAAGAGAATCACTGATGTATCCGGTATTCTATTCACAATAACTCAGTCTGATTCACGTACTGTACAAAGGAGTTCGAGATTTAAAATCAAAATAAAGAAATTAAAAAATAGCTAACTAGAATCACGAAAAGAGCATACAGTGCAAGAACATTTTTGAAAACTTAAAAACTCTTTGCAGTGTGTTAATCATATTTATGGGAAGAGAGCATCGTTTTTAGCCTGAATTTAAAAGCATTTATACTTTAAAGGGATGTTTTCCAACCTTGTTAATTCATATTATTCACTCTGATAAAGGACAGAAGCAACTCACGTGACCAAATTAAACAAATACAGAAAAAAATGCTTTTGAAAAATGATTTTTGGTGGGGCATATTGTATACGTCTCCGCTGCGCCACATCGTGGTCAACGTATTTGAGATATGACAAAACCTTTGACGGTGTTGCTGTCTTTCAACAGGAGAGAGAATTGGCACAAGGTGAATTAGACGGTAAGTCTCGCAAATTAAATGGACTCAAACGAACGGTTACCCCAGGCTGCTGTATATTTGGTAGCTCCTCACGCATCGCAGCCCAATTGAAGTTTTAGTGGCGCTAATCCACTCTTGGAAGGTGCTCTCAAGGTCGTCGCCTTGTTTTGACAGAGCTGCAAGAAGCCTTCAAGGAGTTTGACTACGACCAGGATGGCTACCTGAACTACAAAGATGTGGCTGAGTGCATGAGGACCATGGGATACATGCCCACCGAGATGGAACTGCTGGAGATAGTGCAGCAGATCAAAATGAGAAGTGAGGACACAAACGCACTTCCCCGTGCAGGCATGGGCAACTGAAATGCTGGAGGGGGCGGCCACAATATCTCATCAATGCAAGGCAACATACATGCATAAGTGCTATTAATATCCAAAGTATTTCATTTTTAATCATACATGCATGTCTAAGATGTACTATCCCAACACCAAAGGGTTTGAAGCAAACAAAATAACCCCGTAATTTTTTTCTTCCAGTGCAGAGGCCTCGTGAAAAAAATGACCATTCAAGGATGGCACAAAACTGTTAAACAAGAAACAAACATGAAGTGCAAGAAGTCATTTTGTACAGAGTACTTTTTTTCTTTTTTTTTTTTTTAATATTATTGAGGTACATTGTTCATAATGCATTTCATTCTACTACCCCGCCCCCCACGTTGTCGTGTAGGGCAGGAGAAGACCCAGTGTAAACTCAACTAAGGCATGTCTGCCATCTAGTGGTGATTGATGTTATTGCAACTTAAAACTACAGTCGACCACTGTGTATTCGCAGTTCATAGATTTTTTTTTTTCAAGTTTGGGATTTTTCCCAGCTCCTCCGGGATTTTTATTCTTCCATTTCTATCCGTTGTGGAAAACATCTATTCATGTTTATCACCATTTTCTTTGAATTTGTTGGCTTTGTAAAAACATCATTTTCATGTTACTTTTTTATTTTTAATGAAATGGCCACTCAGAATGTGCCCATCCCTGCTTGAGCGATTTATGCAGTTGATGTTGCAATTCTTCCCTAATTCCGTAGTGGGCGGGCTCATGGACTTTGAAGACTTTACTGAACTGATGGGACCCAGAATGATGGGCGAGACAGCAGACATGCTCGGACTCAAAGAGCTCCAGTCGGCATTCTTGCAGGTGGGCCTCGATTTGTTTTTTTACACCACCAGATTGGATGAACGGATACTTTCACGTGACCTTTGCCGTCTTGTTGCTGTCATGCCAAGTTTGACCTGGACGGCGATGGCAAGATCACGCAGGACGAGATGAAGGAGGCGGCCAAAAGCCTGCTGGGGGAGAAGCTCAAGAAAGGAGAGCTGGAAGACATCCTGAAGGAATTGGACATCAACGCGGATGGAAATATTGACTTTGAAGGTGAAAACGGGGAAAGTCGACCCTTTTTGGGGGTGTGGAGGTTTCATTTGTATAAGGTCATTTCTCTGGTCCTCCTCAGAGTTTGTGATGATGCTCTCCATCCGCTAGCGGCCAGACGCCCGCACAGAATCCAACCCCTCAACAACAATACTTGATCAATTGCGTGTAGTGCAACATACACGATATCGTGTGACAACCGAAGGAACACCGACCGCTTGATGCAACGTGTAAAGAAGCTTGTGTATGTTTTGCTGTTTTAATAAAGAAATCTAAACTTTTTTTCCACCCCACGGGGACATGAAATGAACACTCAAGAATGTGCTCCTCTCACGTTGACTTTATTCCACAAGTCTTTCAATCTTGTTAAATAAATTGCAAATAGCGGTGTAAGATTCCGTTCGATAATAAATTAGTTCCCAGTGTGGCTCAGTGTTGTGTCCAGTCGACAGCATTTCAAAACAAGTGGAATGTGGCACATTACTGTCAAAGTGACAAATATTCATTCACGTCAAATATGTGCTTGCTACCTGGAAAGGATGCGAATAATTGCCACTTGAACGTCAACTTAAACGGCGCAGCTAGGCAGTGTTGGTCACTATTTCTGTGGCACTGCAGTCACGCAAATCACAGTAAGTTCGAGTGCTAGTTGTAGTTTCAAATATGGGCAGCAGGGGGCAATATTCTGCTCCACTTTGCCCTTGGTCTCCTAGTTCCATTCTTTTCAGTCCCAGAAGTGGTTTGAAAATGGACAAACTCTTCAGCGCAAACTAGCGAGGCGAAGACTTGTCCACCGCCTTATTGGTCGGGGAGTTCGTCAACAAACTCCGCCATGATGTCATGCACCCAGATGTCGCAGTCTTGCTGCGACGTGTCCACCAGGAAGACGGTGAGCTTCCTGTCCCAGGGGTTCGCCGCTTCCTGCGCCGCCTCCAGCTGGGCCACGAGGGGCTTCTTCTCCACGTGGTTCCTGAAGACGATGGACGCCTCCTCGGACCACTGCCTGGTCTTCACTCCTGAGAGGCGAGACGGTCTTGTCGGGTAAAAAGGAAGCGGCCAGGTGGCGATGAAATCTGGGCTTTGGAATTGAGACTCACCGGCCAGCTGAGCGGTGATTCCCTGGAAGGGCAGCTGTCGGAACTCCTTGTTTAGAACTCTGAGCTGCGTGCAGCTGACCAGCTCGTGCTTCCCGTAGTCCAACTCGTACACGGACACCAGCCCGTTGCTGAGAATGCCTTTCACCAAAACGCGATACCAGCTGCGCGGTGGAGGAGCACGCGCGCTTTCAGAAAAAAAAAACTGCATTTCGGTGACGCCCGACTTGTGACGCGCTTCACTCACTTGTTCTCCACCTTCGCGGCATAGACGTGATTCTTCTGCACGTTGAGAGGCCTTTCGTCGGTTTGGTTGTAAAACAGGATCATCTCCCCCATCAGCACCACCAGTTTGTACATATCCCTCCAGGGCTGGAGGACAAAGTGGCCTGGATGGCACGCCACTGATATGTACACGTCCATGTTGTTTCCTGGAAGTGACAAAAAAAAAAAAAAGTCATGGCATGAATATACATAAATGTTAGTTGGCCCATTGATTGCCAAGAACGACTTAAGAATCACCAAAACGCGGTGCAAAGGTTGAGTTGTTTTGTTTGGGATATATTTTTTGGGGCTGGGGGTGTGAGGCTTGATATTGGTCTGATGCGCCTGTCCTTTACCCATACTGCCAGCAGAGGGCAGCAGTGCAGCATTTTAGATGAAAAATGCCCTCTGTTTGCCAGCATTATCAGAGTCAAACGATGTGAAGCATATATTCAAATAGAGAACATATTTTTAGATGTACGTATATCACAGAGTATGTGTTATGGTCGTAGAAATATGTGCGCGTCTTATGAAAAGAGTGCGACAACCATCGTAAAAATGTGACAGGGTTGTCTCTTGTGTACAGCCACTCACGGCTGACCGAGCCATCCCGGTGAGTTGGCATCGCTCCAGCGCTTGCATTTAATTCACTAACTAGAATATTATTTTGCAATAAGAAGTCATTCCTTGAAGTTGAATTACATGGGTCATATTAGGTAACCACTGTTCAGATGTTCGTGATTGTCCAAAAATATTTGCCTTCAAGTCACTGTTTAGCTTGATATGTTTTGTTAACACAAAAAGCTTCTTTTTTTTCTGCTGAATTTCTTAAAGGGGAAGTCAACCCCAAAATGGTCTTTACAGTCACATGTTCCGTGCCCCCCCCCACCCCCCACTTGTCTAAGCATGACATTGTGTTTGTGGAATATGAGTTATGCAGTAAAATCCACAACACTTTTGTCCATCTGAGGGGGGCGGCCATTTTGCCACTTGCTGTCAAGTGAAAATGACATCACAGTTGCTCAGGAAACAACCAATCATGGCTCAGTTTGAGAAAACAGGCCAGCCGTGATTGGAAGGAAGCCCAAAATGAATTGAGATGATGACCTGCAGGGGGCAGCGTGAGCAAGGGTGGCAGCTGGAAAGAGGAGGAGGCGACTGACTGAGCCCCAGGTGGGCTGCTGGCGCTTGCTTTGGGTCCGGACGGAACCCTTCTGAGATGAGGTTTGCCCGCAACCGAAGCAGACTTCGGACTGCCGTTGGTGATGTCACCGCCGCTCGATGTCTTGCCGGGTGCGGCGAGTGTCGAGATCTTGATGGGACTGTGAGTCATGAAAAAATGAAGGAAAATGAAGGAAAAATGAAGGGAAAAAAAACCATAGGAATGAAGTGAAGGAAAAATGTTTCAAGTTGTTCTTCCCGACGTGTTGAAGTGACCTGTGGCTCGTCAGGTAGACATCGGGTTGCTGTTTGAAAAGGTCAGACCGGGCCATCTGGTGGTTGATACTACAAGCTGGGTCGTGGAAGTTCTTGTCAGTGAAGAGGTGAACGTAGACGCACTGTTTGCTTTTGTCCACCTTGGCCACCTTGAGGTGCCAATTTCGTGTGAGGAAATAAATTTGATAGCGATATAAAGGTGGTGAGGCATGAATATTTTTCAGTAGGCAATTAAAAAAAAATCAAATAAAAATCGACTGAATTACCTTCATGCTGCAGTCGGTGGTGTTGAGAACTTTCTCCCGAAGCCACTGGACCGAATCTGGAGTCCAGGATCCGACGCTGACCAAAAGGTCTGCCAGGCAACATTTGACAGCCTAAACACGGGTTGGAAAACACAATTAATTGCTTATTCCCAATTTTATTTATTCATTTATTTTTTTAATTCACGCCAACCTGTGGTGGGATGGCCATGAGGTCACGGAGGAACTTCTGTGGAATCTCCCTGAGCTCAAACACTTCCACGGAAGCCTGGACTCCCACGTCAAGGAAGACGATGTCCAACACTCTGCTGCCGTGTAGATTTGTGATCTAGACAGACATCGGAAAGCGTCAACGGCATGCAGGAAGGCCAATTTACTCCTTCTTGTGCCAACTTACTTCGACACGGGACCATTTGCCTTTGTACCGAGCCACGCATCCTTTGCCGCAGAACGGCCTGGACACCAAAAACTCTGACGTTACCTGTGAGAAATATCCATTTTCTCACGCTCGCACATCAAAAGTGTGATGTTTTCTGTGTGATGTTTTTCCGTTGCCTCCGCTCGCGAAAAGCCATGTTTACCTCAACACGGACGGAAAGCTTTCAAAGGAGAGTGGCGGCGCGGCGCCGCTCACATCCTAAGTGGCTTGGCGAAGCATCAAATCCAGATTACCGACCTAATCTCAATCTGTCCACTAATTTGAGACGCCGATAACGCATTCACGAAAGACTTTTCGGAGGCTTTTGAGTCGCCATCTCGCCGGGAACGGTGCGATTCAACTCAAAACCGTACGAACGCCGGTGCATCACCTGCGAGTGGAAGTACGTCTCGATGTTGTCGAGGATCTGATTGAGTTTGGCGAGTCCTCGGGAAGGCAGCTGACAGTAGAAGGTCCCGTCAGAGCACACGCTGGTGATGCTCACGTTCATGTAAGCGCTGTTGACCTGAGGAATGCAGCCAATCAGAGTCTGGCGTGCTCCGCTTTTCCATCCTCAATTCTCCCTTTTACCTGCAAGGGACTGATGAGGCTCTTGTCCTGCAGGGCTTTCATGCAGGCGGCGTTGATGTTGACGTCGTCATCCTGCGACGTGTCGTACAACACCATCAAGGGCGTCTGCCCTCTCTGCAGGATTTCAGCCAAAAGGATGCGGCCGCTCGCCATGGCCTCGAAGGACTTCAGCACGGCGGGCTCCCGGTGGAAGAGCTCCAGGCCTGCGCGCACAAAACTCCCATCATGCACGCTGGAGGAGGGCTGCGCTTTCTGTTCTTTTCTTTGTCTCCACGGCAACAAGACTTTGGCCCACCTGCCAGTTTGCTCTTGGTGGCTTGGAAAGGGAGTTTGTAGAACTTCTCGGGCAGCTCAAAAAGTTTGGCTTTGCTAACCACTTCGGAGAAACCGTGATCCACAAAGTGCACCTGCGAAGCCACAATTTCAAATTCTTGATGTAAAAACGGACCTGCTTGTCATGAAATCCTTCAGCAAAGTCCTTGACAACCTCTCACCTTGACCTTCTCCGTCATGAGCTCGCACACCTGAGCTCTCAGAACTTCCTCCTCCTCGGTTTTGACGGCCACAAGTTGGCCCGACAACGGAGAGGAGCACGGCGTCGACTTGTGCTTGTCCGTCCCGTAAAATTCCCTCATTTCATCCTCCATCCGCTCCTGAGCCTGCGAGTAGCTCTCACCGACGTACCTTTGAAACACAGGAGGACACGAGTGAGATCGACCAATTGGATGCGCTTCAAAACTTCCCGCGTACCTCAAAACGACTTCATTGGTGTTTGTGGCGTCCACCACCAGCACGGAGGGAAATTCCTCTTTGGGGATCTGCAGAGGGGGCACCGAGTGATCACACGGTCTCTTCGCCGGCTCCGGCTTCACTTTCTGTTCCTCCTCGCTGGCCGACGAGCCTCTCCTGCTACGGTTCTCCTCTCCTGCGCCTCCGCCGCCGCTGCTGCTGCTCCTCCTGTACATGATGGCCCTCTTGGGGTTGTCGGGCATCGGGTAGTCGATGGTGCAGATGTCGGAGAGGAGCTGAAGGTTATCAAGGACGTGTCCAGGCAGTTTGGTCTGATTAAAACAAAAAAAAAAAAAAAAAAAAAAAAAAAAGCAGGCAATTTCAAGCGCACCACAAAACACAAATGAAAAGCTTCATGGCATTTTTTTTTTTTTTTCCCTCCCGACTGACTTTATACGTGCCCTGGAAGAGCTTCGGCAGCGCGTGGGCCCCCAGGCCGGCGGAA